AACTGGACACTTCTTACTCGATGCAGGGTGTTCAGAAGACTTGCATTTGGGGCAATGTGGTGCAAAACGGCAGGTGACTCCTCGAACCACCTCGTGGTCACCAGCACACATGCCACAGATTTCTTTTTTCGCACAGCGCAGTTTTGTATGTCCAAACTCCCAGCATTTGTAACACTGCATGGGAGCAGGATAATATGGCCTGGTTTGTACACGGAGGTAGCCGAGGTATACGTGTTGTGGGATCGCAGTACCGGATACGGTTAGAATCAACATCGGTGTATTGATCCTATCATCCCCGACGCCTTTCCGGGTGATTCTCCGAACAGAAGATATGCCTTGCCCTGCTAGGATGTCTTTTACTTCCTCCTCGGTGAGATCTACCACTTCGTAGTTGTGTATTACACACTTCACATAATTGTGAATCGGATGCTCTTCGATGCTGATCGGAGTGTGATCGTACAGTTCTTTCAAAGATTTCAATTTATCTACCTGGTCTGGTCTTCTGACTTTCAGGGCGTAGCGGGTTCCTCGATTTTCGGGAAATGCACCCTCTATCAGTCCGCAACATTGCGTTACGGATAGACTAACCACAGTCGGATTTTTTGGTAGCACCGCTGGTTCAACTGGTTGTAGTCGTAGGATTGTCAGTGGGCCATTAACGTTTTGTGGGTCCATCCATTCGGGAACTGTACGTCCCCTGTATGATCCATCAATGGTATTACAACCCGTTGCTCCACCACCAGGATCCCCATCGAGGGGAAAGTCCCATCCCGACTTCATAGTCGAGATGGCATGGAAAGGTTTTCAGCAAGCGAAGACCAGAATAGCGTCGTATAACTTCCGCGGTGGAGATGCCCTTATGTACAGCAGTCACAGCACAGCAGCAGAACTCTCAGTGTGATGCAGACGAACAGCAGTATGGTTTTTTTTGCACACAACGATACACACGATTCGCGAGCGAATGAGGCTATACCAACGGAGGTAATTGTTTGCCTTTTGTTTGTCACTACCGAATAGCGCGTGTAATGTATCAATTTCAGTCCAGTGACACTAGATTCTGAATCTAAATGCACTCCGCGCACTAAAACGAAACGCGTTGGAACACTTCTCGGGATATTCCGAAAACGAGGGAAATAACTGGCAAGTATCGTAGTGAAATAAACACTATTGTATACCGCACGAACTAGAAAGTGACCAAATGCGACTGTACGTAGCAGAAGCTTTCGATTAACTGAAAATGGAGTGATGAATTTCTGATAGTTCACGTTCCAGCTCGCATCATTGCCTCAAATTATGAACCTGTGCAAAAATGGTAAGGATTGATGAAGGTTTAGAAGTCGCGCAATTGATTTGAAATATGTATGGGAATTACTATGGAAGAATTTCAAAAATCATTTTTATTGCTTTAACTTTACTTCTGCCCAGTGTTGGCAAAATCATAAATCAATTGATATTTTTCCACTCTCATGCGCTCGCAATATCACGCGTGATATTGGAACAAAATATCATGCTTGATATTGATTTTACAAGCTCCTTTGATATTGCGAGACTATTTACAATGTGCAAAAATCAAGCTGAGAGTTGACTCGACACAAAAATGATTCCGTTGCACATCGTTTACTTAGAAAGAGAAAGTATAATTTGCTATCTCTTTTTTACTTTTCACCGATGGCAGACACGAAGTGACTGCTGCCCGCCGTTATGGAAGTTTCGGTTGCATTCGGGTGTAAAGCAAAAATCATTAAACTCAATCTCACCACAGTTTGTTGAGATTTGCAGCTGGTGAGTTTTGTTAGCTTGATATTCCGAGCTGCGATATCACAGCTTGCAAAATCAACCGCAGTTGTTTGCTTGTTGATTTTTGTCTACGAAAATCAAGCGTGATCTTGGGCGTTTGTGAGATTTGATTTTTTGATATTTTCCCAACACTGCTTTTGCCTGTCAAAATGTTGAACAAAATAATATGATGCTGCAATGGCAAAGACCAAAAAGTCTTTTGTTGTTACAATAAATTTTAAAACATATCAAGAAAGATACAAATGACGAAATAGGGTAAATTGACAGATGAATATGAGCAAGACAAAAACGCCAATTTCGTCACGGCAACAACAGGCTTGTTGATCATTGTCATGACAACCACATACTTTTTTTTTCAACGCTTGGGCAACTATAACCAAAGTAAGAGCAATGTAAGTGAAAATTAATAAGTTCCCATACTAATTAACCGAAATCGCCATACAAACTTCAGATCATTTGCGCGACCTCTAAACCTTCATCATTGTTTACCATTTCTTGTACAGACTCATATTTTGGGGTTATGAATCGAATTGAAGGGTGGTCTATCGGAAATTCCTCACTTTATTATAAATGAAGCACCCTACTTTGGGTTTGAGTGCCATATACAGGATTCACTGTGTTGATTTTTCGAGAATTTATATAGTAAGTTCTTTTAAAATTTTGATTTTAAACAAAGCCTAAAAACCCTGATTAGTACGGGTCGCGAGACTAGAGATTACATGAATCGTGCCAAACCCATCATTCAAAAGCTCAAGTCGCTTAAGAGCTAAAAATCAAGTGTATTGGTTATCATACTCAGTCTACAGGACTATCTTGGCTACACCCAGATTCCTAGTAGAACACTTGTTATTGAACAGTTGTGGTTACTTATATGCAACTTATTCCAGTCACAATCAAGTTGCAGCAACTTACGGTGATGGAAGTGTGCTACTTGCGATATGATTTGGGTGCCCCTGGGGATGTGGCCTGACTTGGCCACACTCCTTATGCGACACCTCAAATCACACGAGCATTCAAAAACAAGTTCAATGCTAGTCCAATAGTGCCCAGAATGACGCCTCCAAGGAAGAGTCCAGAGCTAAAACATGTCATGCGACGCATCAAATCAAATGAGATTTCAAAACGATGCTTATTGATCGCCACATTGAGTGCACAGGTAAACTTTGGCCACACCTGAAAAATGTTCCGGATGCCTGGGGAAGTAGCACGAATCTGACCTGCACCCAGGCCTACCATGCGACACATCAAATCACTTAAGAAATCGACATCGACGCATGTTCAATAGCTTGAGCCAAAACCTATCATGTGACGAAAATTGGGTCCTGATAAGCCTTACAAAATTTGATCTCATTTGATTCAGTTCTACGTCAACTGACGACTATATTTAATTTTTCCCTCTCCGAATCCTATGAAACTTCACATAATTGTTCATTCGAGGCGAGTTTCGGCAATTTTGTCTCATGCCTATTTTTCTAATATGGCTTCTTCGATATTTTCCAATAAATCATAACACGAAAGTGATCTATCTAATAGAAGAATAGTAAAATGTAAATAATCGATTACCTTTTAGGAAAAAAAAGTTCCCTGAAAATTTATGTTTTACGATTTGATGTTAATGTAATGTTAATTTCTGAAAGTTTTGAAATTTGGATAAGCTTATAAATAAATACAAAAGTTTGAAAATCTTAAATTTATTGTTTTAATATTGAAATTTTTAACAGTTATAAACATAAAACAATTCGTTTAAGATAATATACGATTTTTTCAGTGTGTATTTTTTTATTGGTAAAGCCGATCTTGTTTCCTACAACTTTGTCTCAGATGCCATTTCGATTAGATAAACCGTTTTCATGCTATGATTTATTGAACAATATCGAAAATATCATTTTGAAAAAATAAGGCACAAGTCAAAATGATCGAATTTCAGCACATACTTGATTTATTGCCCCTAGCGATCAATTATGCGAAGTTTAATGGAATTTTGATGGGTAACATCTAACGTTTCTCGATCACTTTTACGAAAGGACGTATCAGCTTTTGTAAACAATGATCGTCGGTTGAGCGTAACTGGTAGCTCACCCGCTCATACTAAATAGCACCACTATCAGGTAGGGCAAAATTCCCTCTATCTGATGGAAGTGTTTGAGGGTGGATTACCTACCAGTCACGCCAAATTGATAATCAAATGCATTGTTTACGAAAGCTGATACGTCCCTTCGAAAAAGCAGTCGAGATTTGTTTATTATTTCGCTTTTTGTCCTGGAACTCCCCATATGCCACTATTAGTTTACAATCCATCTAGATGAGAGATTGTGGTAACATATTAAGATATTCGACTAAACAGTATTTTACTAATCTGAACTTCTAATTTAAACGTATTTTCATGCCTGAATACCGCAACACACCGAATACCAGCTCGAAGACATCAACTGACCTCTTCACTAGCCCGTTTAAGAGCTTAAAATTACAGATACATTTTTACATCGTTCCCATTGCCTAAGCGGGCTGGTATATCTAATATCCCTTCAAAGCCGATTTGGGTCCCTCATTTCCATGAGTTAAAAAAAGCTCACCATTCCAGCTCGAGGCCAGACGCGGTGGAACCAACCTGGAATATCTTACCAACTCGAGTCGTTCCGTCAGTTTTTCCCAAAGAGGAGGCTAATGAATTCTCCGAACGTAATCCATTTGCATTTCCAAACAGTCTGAAAGATTCTTTTTTTTAATCGACCTCACCCTAATCCAGGTAGTTGATTAACCCTCTTGAAAAACAAAAATCCTTTTTGCTGTCCTTACTTCAAAACTGGAAGATGCCCGAACATAAAATGTAGCGATTCCTTTCTACGGTTTCAACCTTCGGACAGCTTGGCAATAATGGTTCCTGGAAGATGTGGGTCACGTGTAGGAGGAGGATTTTTTGATGATTATTTTAGGGAATTCATGTGGCGACGGGGAATCGGTGAGGGTTTTGGGATTTAGCGATGAAAGACTAGCTTTTCCTTATCCGAAGAATGCACGAGGGCAAACACACATACTTTCGAGAATATGGAGTGTCGATTTAATGTGTATATGTGAGTGAGTGAGTGAGTGTGTGTGTGTGCGTGTGTGCCCTCGTTACAGCCGGGGTTTCCTTGGCTCCATGCCAGGGAAGTTTGCGCAACACACGGGAACAACAACGCTCTAGGGAACATTTTTCGACTTACCTTTCGGATGAATCGGATGGCCCCCTTGTGCTGGTTCGTTAGCTGTATACATCTAGGTTCCTCATCTTCGTCTGCTCTTCCCCCGGTCGGGAATATCGGTCATGGTCGGTGAAGGGTTTTCCGGGATTTCCGTCGGTTTCACAGTTGTTTAACGATGATAGTTACCCCATTCAATTAGGAATTTCCAGAACCAGAGATCATCGGTCATCGTCACAGGTTGGAAGATTGGTCGGAAGGTAGTGGTTGTGTCGTTATCGACAGAAAAGAAACGTAGAGGAAACATAAATTAGAAATTAAGTTACGAAAAAAATATTTCTATCGAACTATACGACAACGTATATCTAGATTTATCCTAATTTATTGCTTTACAGGATAACGGGCCGGGGAGGAAATATTTCGCTTTCTCGGTGCCTGTTTGGAGTTTGGAGATGTAGGTAATGGGCCGCTCTTGTTCGTTATGGAGGTCACACTTTTGGTCGCAGGTCACGTACGACGGACCGAGGACGACGGTTTTAAGGCTTAACCACTCCCCGTTGTTGGTTTTTGCGATTGGCTGGGTATGGTTATAATTGTTTGTGAGAGAGCCGCAGCCTGTCGTATACAATGTGGTTGGTGGCTACGAGACAACCCATGTTGGTAGAGTCATTCGGTCTAGCTACTCGGCATATTCTTAATCCGGTGAAATCAATCGTGATTATTGGTGGACTACGACACGGCCTTGCGGTGTTGCTCTCCGGGCATTACAAAATGAAGCATGTAGCACGGATGTTTGGTTTCGAGAGGGCAGCTTTGGCAAATGGCATTGAGGATTTTTTATGGTTTAAATATGTTTCGGTTTAATTGAAAATTAGAATGTTCCGTAGCAAATTATAAGATACCGTGTCTGAGATTCGATTTGGTAACTGATTTCGATTTTTAATATTTCCCTCATTTTTCCATGATTGGAGCTAACATCCAAACAATTTTGATTGTAAGTATTACACTTCCAGAGTTTTTTTTTTGCGATTTAGGGTTTAATTCCTAGAAAAAGAAATTCTACAGTAGCTGTCAAACCAACAAGGCTTCAAAGAATTAGCAGTAAGAATACTTCAGCTCATTTTCATACAGGCTTTAGAACTTTGGCAGCTGCGGTAGAACTCTACGTTAGCTGCCAGATGGAAATTCTTCTTAAGATCCGCAATAACTTATGCTTATGTGAAAATGTTCAAGGAATCGATTGCGCGTTCCACTTTTCCTGCCTTTTTATAACTTCCCTGAATGCTTATAAAATGCGCATTTTCATGATACTCAAAAGCTTACTTGGATTTTTTACGTAAAAATGAGGGAATGGATTGCGATAGGTTAAATTGATCTGATGTAACTTGCAAGGCCTATTTTACCCCAATATCCCTTTAAATTTATCTGTGTGCTGATTATTTGATTATTTACTTGAAATGCATCCGGATGCAACTGAGTAAACAGTGAAGGAGTGCACTCTTGAACAAAAATGTCCAGAAAATCGATGGCTTTAGGCCTCATCCACCGTAGACGTTGGAAAATATCCGCTTTGATGCAATTTGACAACGATTAGATACTTAATCTTAAACTAAACTAAACTAAATTAAAAAGCTTATGGAATTGATCGCGCTTGGTAGGTTTGAATGCGAATAGTATTCATTGCATAACTTGTTTTATTTTTCCTACAGTTGAAACTGAATGCTGATTATTTGTGAATTTTCGTACTTCTCAAATGCGTACGAATAATCAGCAATGGCTTTTACGCGAAAATATTCTGATTATCGATAAGAGTAGGTTAAATTGGTCTCAGATAACGAAAAAGGCCGGCTTTCCCCCATTTTCACAATTAATTTAACTATTGACTATCTTGATCTTATCTTGACAACAAATGTCACACATATGAATATCAATTAAAATATGAAGTATGCTCTTGGAAATACTACCTATGTTATATAATATTCGATAAATACTAATCATAGTAAAGGTGTGTCTCGATTTGAAACACAAGATTCTTTGCTCTTTCATAGTTGATTTTCTGCAAAGGACAAGTCTAGCGCTTAAATTCACATTACCAATAGATAGGGGTATGTTTTTCAGTCTGATGGTGTTCCTGGTTTGAGTGATTGATTTGTCATTTGCGTTAAAACGGAGATGAAAACAAGAATGAAAGTGTCGTGTAATCGGGATATACCTGTAATAGTATTTTTAGACCATTTTCGTGATTCGAAGGCGACTAAGGTTAGCACAATTGTGTTTTGATGGAGGATTAGACCAGGTGCCAACAACCAGCCGTTTATCCGGAACGCTACTATGCCGAAGAGGTCACGAGGTCAAATACGTAGTTTTGCAGAAATTAAATCTTCTGTCAAATTTACATGGTGACCAGCAAATCCCGATTAGAAATTGTACGGGTTTTAACGTGTTTTCCTGGAATTTAGAAAATTTTCACAAAAAAACATAAATTTTTGAACCAGCCTACTCCGATTTGTATGAAATTTTGCGTATTTGTTTGTTATGGGCAATGATTCTCAGTTTTTGCTAAATTTCGGCCATTTTGGAACTTATAAAATTTACAAAATGGTGTACATTTCGATCAGAAATGTCGTATCCGCGCTACATTGCAGTTTCATAAAAATGTAACAAGGATACGACATTTGACGCGTGAGACAAAGAAAAATAATGTCTTTCTGGGAAATATAAACCAAAAATGTATTTTTTTTTAATTTTTTTAAGGTAAAAATAATAAAACATTAAAACCTAAATATTTCTAAATAAGTTTTGAAAATAAAAAAAAAAGTTCAAGCTAAATGTAATCACACTCGACAGAGCTTGAAAATTGACAAAAAATTTAGAACAAGAACTTTTGGTAAATTTTTTGAACGTTTAGTAAGCTTGTTTGAATAATTTTTAGCAGAAACTGGTTTTAAATGTTTCAAACATTGTTTTCTGAAAAAAAAAAAATACATGAAAAAAGAAAACGTTTAAAAAATTTCTTGTTTTTAAATATTCCAAAAAAAAGTTTCTAAAAAAAAATTGGGCAATACACTGAATCCTCCGTTTAAGAAGTATTTTTTTTACGCAGTATGTATTCAATTTACGTCCCTCTTTTTAAGAAGTAAATCCCAAATAACGAGTTTCCTTTGAGTATCTTTGGAATCGGAGTGACATGTAGGAACCGGAAATCTATGTCTGACGCCATTTTGAAATCCAAGAGGGCCGCATCCGGTTCATGAAAAACTGGAAAATAATGTCAATACTCCACAATATGGGTATTTTTGGAATCGGAGTGACATGTAGGAACCGGAAATCCATGCCTGGCGTTCATGAAAATCTGGAAAATACTGTCCATACCCCACAATATGGGTATTCTTGGAATCGGAGTGACATGTAGGAACCGGAAATCCATGCCTGACGCATTTTTAAAATCCAAGATGGCGGTATTCGGTTAATGAAAAACTGGAAAATACTGTCAATACCCCCACAATATGGGTATTTTTGGAATCAGGGTGACGTGTAGGAACTGAAAATTTATGTCTGACGCCCTTTTGAAATCCAAGATGGCGGCATCCGGTTAAAGAAAACCTGGAAAATAATGTCAAATACCCAACAATATGGGTATTTTTGGAATCAGGGTTGCGTGTAGGAACTGGAAATTTATGTCTGTTGCCATTTTGAAATCAAAGATGGCGGCATCAGGTTACAGAAAACCTGGATAATAATGTCAAATACCCCACAATATGGGTATTTTTGGAATGGGAGTGATATGGAGGAACCGGAAATCCATGCCTGACGCATTTTTGAAATCCAAGATGGCGGCATCTGGTTAAAGAAAACCTGGAAAATAATGTCAAATACCCAACAATATGGGTATTTTTGGAATCAGGGTTGCGTGTAGGAACTGGAAATCTATGTCTGACGCCATTTTGAAATCCAAGATGGTGGCATCAGGTTACAGAAAACCTGGATAATAATGTCAAATACCCAATAATATGGGTATTTTTGGAATGGGAGTGATATGGAGGAACCGGAAATCCATGCCTGACGCATTTTTTAAATCCAAGATGGCGGCATCCGGTTAAAGAAAACCTGGAAAATAATGTCAAATACCCAACAATATGGGTATTTTTGGAATCAGGGTTGCGTGTAGGAACTAGAAATCTATGTCTGACGCCATTTTGAAATCCAAGATGGTGGCATCAGGTTACAGAAAACCTGGATAATAATGTCTGGATTTCAAAATGGCGTCAGACATAGATTTCCAGCTCTTGATTCCAAAAATACCCATATTGTTGGGTTTTGACAGTATTTTCCAGTTTTTCATGAACCGGATACACGTCTCCCCGATTCCAAAAATACCAATTTTGTGCGGTATTTGACAATATTTTCAAAAATCTCTTTTTACGAAGTAAATCCCAAATAACGAGTTTTCTTTTTTCGAAATAAATGCCTAATAACTAGGTTTTTTTTACGAACTAATTCGATTTACGAACCCCCAGTTTGGTTCGTAAATGGAGGTTACAGTGTATAGGTTTTAACATCAATTTTTTATTTTTTTTTTATGAGATTTCTTACTAATTGCCATTTCCGTGCTTCATTTATTTTTTAATTGTTAAATACGCTATTTTGAAAATTTTACAATATCCAGAAAAGCCGAATTAAAATTAAAATATGAATCATTTCTCATTACAAACAATTATGTGAATTATGTAAACGGAAAAGGTCAAGTTTTTCCGATTCGTCATTTGGCGCGGAACCACTCAGTTATGCGATATACATTTAAATTAAACATAAATCCGAATGCGATTGAGTCGAAAGGATCAGGAGCCATTACAAAGACAGTACCATTTGTCTAAGTCTGTACTACCTTCACGGCAAATGAATCTGATTCATATCCCGAGTAGGAGAAAATAACTAATGAATACCTAATTCTGATCTGATACCAAAATTTGATGTTGATCAGCATGACATAAGAGGTAAAATACCAAAGAATAATATCAAAAAAATGCATGTAAAATACTTTCCAAATAACAAAAATTTATGTTTGCATACCAAAAGAATACCTGTGTGGTATTGT